GCTTAGAAAGTAAAGTTAAAGGAAAAATTCTACAGAAACCACTATGCTCTGAATGTCAAAATGGAACTAGCCTATGTAAAGTATTGCAAAACCACAAATGTAATAGATTTATTTTAACAAGGTGCTGAAGTACTGTATGTTTAAGAAATTTATCATTTTTCAACTTCCTAATTTATTTCTGGATGGTGACATTTTAATTTAAATAAACAGCAGCTGACAGCATGACACTGGAGTTGTTAATCCAACTATTCTTGTTCCTCATGTGGGTGTTAGGAATTAAACTTACTATTTGCCAAGAAGCTTACCTGACAAGAGTCATATTTTTTTGTCCTAAAGAAAAGAATAGGATTGTAGCTCTCTAGCTTTATTATTTTATTCGATATTGTAAAGGGATGAAGGGTAACCTGCCCATAAAACAGTGGGCAAATTCTTCCAGACTATTCTTGCATATCTAAATGCTTAGGTTCCCACCCACCCCAGTCTACCAAAAAGGAAAGCAAAACAAAAAATAACAAACAAAACAAAACACATATTTCACACACAGCACAGCCAAAGTTCTCATGATAAAAGGCATGATGCTTTAGTAACTAGCCACTGTATTTTTATCAAAACAGTTTTTATTTGCATATTCCAAAATCAGCCTTGCCTCTTAATTTCATGACCTCGAACTGTCAAGCATGAATCATACCTTTCAAGCATCTTCCATTTATGATCCTTATTGGTATAACTCTGTGTGTGTGTGTGTGTGTGTGTGTGTGTGTGTGTATGTGTGTGTGCGTGTGAGTGTGCACACATGTGCCTGAATGAACAAATATCAATGATACTAATCATCTAGGTGCTAGATTAATTAAGCATAGAGAATGTGGTCAAAATATGTCAGGTCAAGTTCAAGGATATGGTTGCTACGTGGACCAGAAAAGTTTTAGGATAACACTGCCCCGCCACAGACATGAGCTAGGCATCATGTAGAATCGGTAAAATGCATTAGAATTTAAATAGAACTGCATTGCTCATGCAGAACTCATCACACAAGTTCAGAGTCAATGGCATTGACACTTTACACATTGACCTCAATAGTGATATCGACAGGAATGCTGCTTGGATCTCTAGGAATCTGGAGTTTTTCCCTGTGGAATTTAACTGTTTATAAGTATTTAATGATTTTGTTTCTGCAGTTCTTCTTATCTTCAGAAAAAGAAAAATAATAAAAAACAACACATGCATTGTTTCCTCACCTCTTCTCTGCAACATCAAAATAAAAAGTTGATTCTTTGTTTTATGACTTTTGCAAATCATAATGAATGCTTTATTTGTGAACAAATGTGTTTGCTGTGTGTGTGTCACTGCAGTGTGTCCCATAATGAATGTGTTTTCAGCTTGATTACTGTAGTGTTATTTCCATGAAGGGATCAACCATTGTTTTTCATTGGTTTGGACCATAGATCCGACTGAGTGAGGCATCTGCTCCTGTTTGAACAAGTTCCTCAAACTCTCTAAAACCTTTCTGTCAGCCAGAATTTATATAGGGTTCTTTATATCATTCCTGTCTAACTGATAATGACTGAGAATCTAATTCCTACATTTTATTTTATTCCTATATTTCCCCAAACTTATTATTTTTTAGTAAACTATGTATCGAACACTTACAAAGTTTGAAATACATTCATTACTTTTTCTGTTCCTTCCTTAATTTTTTTTTTTTAGATAATGTCTCAATACATAGCAAAGGATGGGATTGTACTCAGAATGTCACTAACTGTTTTCATATACTTGATCCATTCTGTCTCAGTTACCCCAGTGTTGGGATTCTAAGCATGTACTTTCATATCCAGCTAAAATATGTGCTTAGCCGTCTCTCATAATATCACACAAATGGCTAAATCGTTTTGGAATTACATTGTTCATCCTTAGTGATCGCTATATTATGCAAAGTAAATATTTAAAATTAGTATCACTGTCAGATATCTTAGTACTATTGAATAATTAATATCTGCTGGAAAATAATCTCTGAAAGGTACCAGTGGCTTGTGTACCTATATATACATTTCAGGATAAACGCATAGAGAAACAGTGTCCATGGACTTTTTCACCAGGAAAAATTTAATAATTCAGCAGGGCTAGCTCTTAAAGATATCCAGTATCTGGCCTGGGAGGGCATATGCAAAACAATTTAAAGTACCTCACACAAATGGAATCTAGTATCTAGTCTAGAGAATCTACTGCAACATACTCTTCCAACAGTATTTGATTTCTCTACACACAAGCAAGATAAAAGAAGGCAAAGAGACAAGACCCTTTGCTGTATCTGCATAATCCACTTCACTTTACAATGCATCTTATTAAAAGAGGTGCAGCTGTTCCTTGGAAGAAGCATATTGAGTCACACCATTTCTATGACCTTCTTAAAATTGGAACGCACAAGGCAGAGTTCATAAACTGATTCCTTCAAGAGAGCAACCATCACTGTTACAGGGAAGCAGGAGCCACTGTCCATCACAGAAAATCAACACAAATCCTTTGTTTTAGGGTACTTTTTAATAGTCCTGCTAAATAACTAAATGCTAATGTAATATGTTGGATCACTGTTTATTCTCCTTTAACAACAACCATATCTAAAATATATAGGTAAGTCATCTTATATCACATGATCTCAAGTGGTATACATCTGCAGCCAATCAAGGTCTGATTTTGGTCACATACCAAATAATTGCCTCTGAGTTTCATAGGATACATAGAAAAGATCTCTTCACTTAGGCCAGACTAACGCCCTGGACAAAACTGGGAATGTGAATTGCATTTTAAAAAAGTGTCTGATAGTGTATTTGCTGTTAGGGCTTGGCTAAGCATGAGACATGTAGTGGCATACAATGTCTAAGAATCCGATTTTTATCAACATAGAATTGTCATTCTGCTACATGTACAATAATTTAGAACTTACAGATTTTCAAGAATTTTTTTCAAATACCCAGCACAGAAAGAAGCTAAATAGATCTAAAGATATAAAAATGCATCAATAAAAGTCCTCATATTCTTAAATAAGCTCCGCAGGAACAGAAAACATTGGTCTAAGAGTCAGCCAGAGACTTTCTGAGGACAATGGGGATCTCACTCTAGCGAGAAAAACAGACCAAGTGTACAGAGTCTAATGTCTTCCTTAAGCGTGTTTAACAACTCTACATTCAGAACCAAATATGAGAAAACAACTTAGACCACCAGCAACAGTTGGCCAGAGACTTTCTAGAACTCAATTCTTCATCATTTTTCCTTTACTGGATATTCCTAGGATTTTATTTCAAGTACTAATGTCCTACTTACTACATAGAGATTAATAGAAGCTTAGTCCCCATAGCTCCTTAGCCCAGGGACTAAACCGTTATTCATTTTTGATGTGCATCAAGGTCCCCTGTTTAGTATTTGAAATAGTCAGACAACAAGTTGTTTAAGCTTTTCATTCCTTCATGAAACAGTTAATTTTGTCCCTATAAATGAATGTAATGAATTATAATTTGAGTTTCATTGACATCTGTACTAACAGAGACCTGCTGTTTAGGACCAATCCCTTAGGTTTGATTTATAAGAAGAACAAAACAAAACCAAAAAACTTAAACTTAAAAATTTCATCTATCTCTGGCAACATTTTAGCCATTTAGCATTTATTATAGAATTATCACAGCTCACCAAAACATAGTCACCCATACGTCAGTGTGATATGTAGCATAGTAAATATATAAAAAATAGTAACGGTATTTTAGAATTGTGTTTTAAATTGATTTCATCCAGCAATGACACATATTTCAGAAGTTAATTTCTTACATATTATTGTAGAAACATTTGCTTTAGTCTCAAACAGGAAGTATACATGCAAACCTCTTTTTCATTTATGTATTGGACAATATTAATTATGTATCTATGATGCTCCCATGATTGCAACATCATTTGGGAAAACAATATGAAAAGGCAGAAGCATTCTCATGAAGCCTAATGAGGATCACACTGTAAACAGAATAAAGTTGAATCAAATTATTTAAAAATTTTCAGTTAGAAGGAAACAAAAAATTGAAGCAGGTAACAGAGAAGAATAAGGACATTGCAGGAATCTAAAGTATTGTCAGATACTTGTTTTTATTTTTTTAAATTTGTTTTTGTTTAAAGTGAAACTAAAAAAATGAGAAAAGAATAGGCATGAAGTGGGGCTTCTAACAATCAATTTAAGGCAGTGCACAATCCTCAACAAGATCTGTACTTGAAATCCAAAGATTTCTGTGGGTGAGATAGGAAGCAAGTACTAGATTATCTAAAGTTTCATTTCTAAGTAGTTTGCACTAATATTGTGAG